TAATTATGCTAATCTCCTCTCCTCGTGCACGAACAGCTGGATAGAATGGAATTTACGCAGCTCATTTACGCACGTTTCCTGAAGATAGAAGAGTTTGTTGAATCTGACGTGACATGTTCGTACGAACCCTTTGTACGAACAAAAGTAAGAGAAATTTAGGAGAAGAATACGAACATGTTCTTGCATGAGGCCCATTGGTTTGACTACCTCCTGAAAGATTAGGAGTGTTTTTTTTAAATGAAGTTTCTATTTTTATTATTTTTATTCTCTTTTTCTTTTATTATTGATTGTTCTTTATGTAATCTGGACTATGAGTCTGTAATCCATCCATCCATCCATCCATCCACCTATCTAATAATTATCATTTTGATCTGTAGGTAATGTGTGACTGGGCCTCGTGTCACTTCATGTTCAACAAATTAGGCCCCGAGGTCAAAAAGRTTAAGAACTCCTCCTTTAAAACACACATGTAAAAGTTTAATCAAATTAGTAAAAAACAAAGTAGACTTTCCAATGTGTTTTTTTCACATCACTTGATTTGTATGAACACAAAAAATATATTTTTTAATTCTTGATCTTAAATGTGTTTCTGTAATAGAATTTATTCCAGAGCTTCAGAACGTGCACAGAATCAAGATGCAAATATGCCAACTACTCTGACAACCATCACATGCACAGATTTAGGGTTAAGATATTTATCAATCCTATCAGATTGCAACAACTTTGACTTCTCTCTTGGATTTCAAATTAAATTGACACATACCATGGCTGTTTGCATCAAAACACTTATTTACCCACACAAAGCATCACATTGTGCTTTTGCAAGGTAAACTTGTTAGTGACAGTGTAAATGTTTTGACATGGAACTGGCTGAACAATCTGGCAACAACAAAAAACTAGTGTTTGAGTTTTTGTGTTGAACAGGCATTTATGAACAGAAACAAGGCTGCGTGTGAGTATCACCCTTTAGATGCTGACATGACAATCGACAGAAATAAAAAGAGAAATTCCATTTTTTGCCATTTCCTGTATAAAAATGATGCAGTAAGTTAAAGACAGGCAGTGACTGGTTGTTTATCTCTTGGTCGAACACTGTTACTTTTTAGATGGGATGCAGAAGTCCTTTCTCTTAACTTCCCAAAGTGGTTAAAAGCCTCAGCTGCAGGTTTGTGTATATATTTTGCATGTTAGGCAGTCTGAGATTGAGCTYGGACAGGACACGGGGCCCCTCCGATTCAAGTCAGCGCCCTGTTAGTCACAGTCACAGACTCAGTATTGAGATACTATACCATTTGCCTCGCTGGCTTCAGAGCTCTTCTGGGTCTCTGGAATGCTGAGGACCTGGCCTGTAGTACAGGACACAGCCATGAGAGGGCAGGAGAGAGACATGTGTAACCATTTCAGGGAATCTCTCCCAGCATGCACTGCAGTGCTGGGAGGGACAGGATCACTAAGGAAGATCTGAGCCATATGGGCTGCATGTTTCTGGCCTGCTTTAATGATCTGACATGTGACCTGTACTCCGTACTKGGGCAGACACGTACGTTCAAACAAACAGACTTCTACTAACAAACAAAAATATACTGCAAAAAGACATTTTCACCTTTATTTTAGTACACAAGCAGTATTTTTTGCCAGGTAATACTTACTTTCATCACAACTGAAGCCTGTGTACCCAGGTGAACATACACACTTGTGATTCACACAACTTCCTCCGTTTTGGCACTCAGAGTCACTTTGGCAGCCAAATTTCACCACTTCACAACGCTCACCTGCAGATACACACCGGGTCTGAGTCAGAGGTGAAAGGTTGAGTCCAGTTCACACCACCCAAAATAATTACACAATTTCACCCCAGAGTTTACCTGGAGTGTCCAGATTTTTAAAAAAAAATAAAATCTTAGATGAACTTTTTCATACTGCTAAACTTGCATGTCCTCTCTAAAGGAACATCCTTTTTTTCCTTTTTTTGCCACTTCAGTAGAAAACAAAACTGAATGTTAGTTTCTTAATTTCTGCACCATCAGTGGCTTTTTAAAAATAATACTATAGTAAGAAAGAAAAAGAAAAAGTAGAAGAGAAATATAACAGTAAAGAGAGAAACCAATAGAAATTATATAACATGTGAAATGAACACCAATAACACACAGGACACCACACCCAACATTTGACCATCACACACAATCAGGCACATACACATACAAACATTCACATATACACACACATACATGCATACATACATACCTAGACACACACACACACACACACACACACACA